TATAGTTCCATTTAGCATAAATACGTCCATTTGTTTAAGGTTTTTCTTCGAATACTTCAGATCGGATGGAGTCGAGGACCGCGGGAATGAATGGGAGCATCGACCTTAAGGAGTCCGAATTTTTTCGTCCCGAAACCCATGTGGTTACCACTGGAAATTAAAAGGGAGGTCCTGATTTTAAATGCGGAGCTCCACGCTCCACAATTTTAAAATTTCTATCAGAAGGAGAAAATACGGAAAATTATGGTAAAAATCTATCAAAAAGTCCAAAATTTGTCCATTCATGCTCAAAATACGGACCCATGAAGGTGGAAGAAGGCTCCTCACGCCCTCAAAGGATGCTTGGTTCTCCGGTTCCCGGCTTCGTCCGTTAATTCAAGGTAATAAAGAAAGAAGCCCGTTGCGGGTGATCTGGATCACCCTATAGGAGCAAACGACCGTGTGTTCGTAGGAATGAACAGTATTTAAGTCTCATGAAAAATGACACATTCTTGAGCGTATTCAGTTGCATCTCAAAATAGGTAACGTCCTTCGAAATAACGCCTCTCTCTCTCGAAAAAAAAACCACGTTCATATTTGAAAAAATAGCGGATTTTTTCCGTCTTAACTTTTGTACCAGTTATTAATAAGTTGTGCATATAATTTAAAGGTTTTCTTTCAAAAGAGCTCAGTCCAACAGTCGTTGATAGGTACTACCTCCGGACTGCATTCTTGGCAAAATGGTTTACTTAAAAAACCAGTAGCGAGAATTCGACATCCTTTTTTGTCAAGGCTGGGTGTTGATCGAATTTGCAAGGCTGCACCGTCCACAAGAACGTCGAACGTCGTGGCTGGAAGAGCCCCCGATTGTCATACTTACGTGCTATATTAATGCATTTCTACTCATTTATTGCACAACGCGCTATTTGTCATAGAACGTGGACAATGTGGTAAATGCTAATGAAGAAGGCGTTGGTTAGATTCTTTCTGTATAGGTAACCGAGTTCTCTCGAAGGACAATAAATCCCCTGTGGTTGACCACATAGACAATGCGTCGCGCCGTCTCTCCGCGTCGAGAGAGCGAAACTTCAATTCAACTTTGCGCGATTTCCACTCACAAATCTTATTTTCACCGGGAAACTGTAGCGCGTTTCTACATGAAAATTTTATCAATTTTTCTTTGGACTACACGCTAAAATCAGCAAACTATAATTTGGACAGAAACTGCAGTCACATTCTTCTAAAATATTTTATGGTTTCAGTTAATTATGCAACTCCAGAATGAAGTTGCGTTCTTTCTTAATGAGAGACGACGTATTCTGAAACCGAAGACGTCTGTTCCTCAGAATTTGCATGCAGCTGCAGTATTATTGGCAGGACGTCATGAGTGGCTGACAAAATTGTGGAGCATAGAGGACAAGGTGCATATAAGTGCAGTTTCTGCTATTTCAAGAAATACGTATTTGAAGTTTCGAAATTACATAGATTCTTATGCCGGAAAGAAAGTTGAAACTAACTTTTTGATGCTTAAAAATTGGATTTTGGGAGCAAATTTTTACAAAATAGGCATACCAACACTAGTTTTACATGACATTATAAATATCTTAATTTTTTCAAAAACTGAACGTATGCGCCTTGTCCTCCGCACTTGCCCCTCGATTCTGCGTGTGCGGTTAGAAAACAATAAGCGTAAAGCTGAGTTTTTGCTACCATTATTAGTATGAATGCACACTGGATGGCTAACAATATGTGGCTTCCCATAAATTTTTTTGGTCGAAATTGACACGAAGAAAAATATTCTACTTCAGTGATGGTGAGATACGAGAAATGATAAATCAGGCGGTGTTATGTGCTACTCACAATCGTTTACTATCTGACTCAGAGGCTTATCGCTGGATTCATTTGTGAGCAATGAAAGCAAAAGATGATTGAAGGGATTCCTTGAAATAGAGAAGGGAATGTTTGCTTAATGACAACCCTTCCTTATCGATTGAAAGACTTGGAGTTGTAGTAATCTTGCTCGCGACTATGTAATAAATTATAAATATTGACACAAATGAATGACGAATTTAGTGCGAATTAAGAACGATTATAACGCTTCGCTGCATTTTAGTTGAAAGCAGATTTAGAATTGCCATATTTGAGGCTACGATCCGCTGATTTTATCTTTTTTCTCATTTCTCACTGTTTTTTCCGCATGGTTAGGTACTAAGTTTTTGCACTCCAAAAAAATCTCCGACAGAGGAGTTAGTCGATAAAGAACTTTGAGATCACGAATTTTGGTTCGCGACGCAACATCTGTTGCAAAAATGACTGATCACTGATACTTATTATTTTTTAAAAAAAATTGTGTGCATAATATTTTTTTGCCCTGCACTTACGAATATTTTGGTAAAGATTCCGTACGAAAGTATCTGGTAAGTAATAGCTATGGTATCGGGTATAATCTGATGGAGCTTTTTCATTCATCACAATCCCGCTTAAAATGCCTTGCTCAGGAAGTAAAAGAGGGTAAAACACATTTTAAAGTGTCAAGTGGTGAGGGCTGTAACAATACGTACGCACGCGATCATTGATACAGATCAGTTAGTTGACCGGTTCGAACAGGTTTCTTACGAGCTGCGAGCTCCCATGTAAGCACAGAGTTTCTAAGACACTGCTCTTGAAGCAATGTCCAAGGTGGTCAAACTACTTTGTCACAAGTGCACACCTTTACGGAGTAATTTTTACGGAGCCTTCACATCGCTCTCGGCTGCCTGCAGAACCCAAATTGAACTATTCAGTTGTAGATTTATTGTTAAGAGAAAATAACCGTAAAAGGAGAAAAAAAAGTCGTCTCTTCGTTTTTGGTGCAGGTGACAGAGGTTTTTGGACTTAAGAGCATAAAGGAGAAACAGGTGTTCGAAATTTTACCAAGGCTCTTTTTCTACTGAATTCTTTGGTTACCTATTGGATGCAAAAATCAATTTTTTTGGACCGAATCTATCGGTTACCTGAAGGAGTAATTTCAGTGTGCCTTATAAACTGAAAGAAGGGCGGGATTTTTCTTTAGCATGAACAGTTTTAGAGTGGAGAAATGACCCAGCAACTCGAGTTTTTTCGCGTTCTCCTTTTTTTCAGACTATATATAAATAAGTGCATGCCCAGATATTTATTTATATAGGTACATACGAATGGAAAGTTCTTAAACAATGTTGAATATCTCAAAGTTGAGTCGTATTGGAACTTGACAATTAAATTATCATTCGAATTTTCTACAGCAAAAATGAAAATGTACGAGCACGAACAGAAAGTGACAGAAAGTGATTACGCTACGAACGGACATATAACGCGGCAAATTACCACCGCAGTCACTGTCTCTGCCAGTGGATGAAATGCAAATATGATGCTAACGCCTTAATGCAACTATTCGTGCTCGGGAGTTGTCCTGGCTGCATACGCACAAAGGTGAAGGCGCTTTGGATATCGTTACCGAACAGCGCTGTGCGCGTCACGTTACCTATCATTTTTTGATGCGCTTGTCCGTTGAGATTTCAGAGCGTTGAATCGCATCAAATTTCTGGAAATGAGGTGCGTGTATTTTAATCCACGATTTTCCTAATATTCTCATTGTTCGGGCGTTTTTCAGCTCCTTCGCCTCAAAGAAATGTACCTACACGGTGATATTTTTTCCGACAGAGATTTTCACTAAGTCTTTCTCAAACGATGCCTAATGGTTCAAGTGATCATTCAAACAAAAAACAAAGAACAAAAACAAGGAGAGTATAAAGTAATTACTTTTAAATTAAAAAAGAGAGGGAGGGGGGCGGGTCCTAAAACAATCAACACTGCAAAACGGTTAAAAAAACGCTGATGATTTTGATGTAAGCTGCGAGGCGTACTTGCATGTATTTCTGTTTCTATAGTTACAGAAAATTAACCTTAAAATCCGGATAAAACTGCATAGAAACTTCAACAATTCAATTTTTGATATTCAATGCCTCTGCCATAAGTGAAAATGGCCTGTAGAGTAAGTGAGCCCGGAAAGATTAAGAAATGGCTTTTCAGGTGAGTTATGCTCAAATTTTTGTGTTTCAATCCGAAGAAATTCCTTGCATTATTGTTCCTGGATATATCTGACAACCTCAAGTGCTCGTGCGACGTTTTTCCTAGACGCTTCAGTAGATAACTGAGCCTCGTGCGTTGAAATCGGAAATAACGCCTTGATGCAACTATACGTGTTCTCTGGGCATCCGTGTTGCATGCTAATAATTGAAGGCGCTTCGGTCATTTTGGCCCATGAGGAAGTACTCACAGCGACACGCTGTAACGACTCTATGGCGGTGGGATAAAATATACCAAGATGAGAAAATGGTGCGAAAAAGTCGTTTCCTGTCAATCGGAGAATTTCACCCTGCCACATATTCTTAGCGGCGGCGCGGCGCGCCACACGCTGCTGCGTGCACTGCTTCACAGACAGGAGTGACCGGAGCGCCTTCCATTTTTTCAAATGCAACACGCACGTTCACAGAGTGCAAATAGTTGTATCAAGGCGTTATTATCTACAACATTGAATGCATTGCTTTTGGCATTGCTTATGTCGACTGAGATATTGGCATAAAAAGCCATGTGCCATCTTATTTTACTTTAGTGTCCTTTAAAAATTAAAAATTGGCTTTTTGAAAAATGCTAATATTTTGAAGTTCTCCGGTTAAATATCACCTTTGATCAATCTTTTTCCATTTCATGGAGCTTATTTTCATCAGTTCATGTTCCTCGGGGGTCAAAACTGTTGTTGACATTACGCTCTCTAATCAATAATGATACAGCGTTGCGAAATTTACACAATATATCCCAGATCACCCATGCCGGGCTTTTTTTCTCGGTTATTTTAGGTCGGATGATGTTTGGGACGAGGGAGTCAAATCGTAATTTTCTGACACCCCCCCCCCCCCCCGAAAAAAAAAAAATCGCCAGCCTCCCCTAACAGACTTAACAGGCTGTTAGAGTAAAGTCTCTGATCCATTCATATTATATAATCAATCGAGCAGTAAGAAATGCGGAGATAGACTTTAAAAAGCCGGTACCTAATGGACTGTTAGCGCGAACACAGTGGACACGCGGACGACAGACTTGCCAGCTGTACGCTAACTAGAGCTGACAGTGAATAGAGTAGAGGGGCTCCATTAGTGAGCGTCTTGTCAAACAAACTTCGTAGGAGATTACACATGCTGACCCTCTTGGTATACTGCCTGGTCACTTAGAGTTAATGTAGCTTTGGCACGAGTGCGAGGATTGGCTCCAACTTGACGACCTTTTCCTTGGAAGAGCAACGATTGTTGCATATTTACGGAAATGTAGGCGCTCCATACGGTGTGTGACGGCTTCTTTCTACTAAAATATTCCGCGGAGAAATAATTGAGTGGTTCCACTGACAAGGAAGTTGAGAGTTATTTTCATGATTTGGAAAACACGTGTGGAGCTGAAAATTTCTATGAAGCGTTTTCATTATGATAACACGATAGCTTTAGTCTGACAGATTCAGATTGTGAGACTCCTCACATAATTATAATTATGTCACGCATTAGAAATTGGAACTTAGAAGGGACAGAAGTAGAAGTGGAGAAAAAGGAAGAAAAAGAGGAGGAGGAAGAGGAAGTAGGAAAACTGAGAAGAAAATAAGGTAAAAGAAGAGAAACAAGACTATTTTATTATCTTCATTTCTTTCCTCTTCTACTGCCTTCTTAGTCTCTTCTTCCTCTCGTTTTCCCATCTTCCTTTTCCATCTGTCTTTCCGTCTTCATCATCAGCCACCTATACTTTTTTCATCTTCTTCTCTATTTTCTGATTTCTAATGCTTCAACATCTAACATTAACTTATTGGCCTTAAGGTATTGCATATTGAAATGTACCTGAATCTAAAAGAACGATATCCATTGAGATAGGGGCCCTGCCATGCATGAATTCTTATGGGTTTCGGGATTCGTGTCCCGATGGAAGTAGTTTTTTATGATTTAAATACGTCCGGTTTGTTTTTTCAAAAATCCCCTCTTAGTGTATCCTTCTTCCGCTTGAGTTCATCCAATAAAGTGATTCTCGAATCTAAAAAACCTAAGTCGGTAAGATCTGAGTTAAAGTACTTTATGATATCGAGATGAAAAATTAAGCTATGCTTTCAATATTTTTGTACCTACCCTTAGATAAATTTCACTTGAAATTAAGTAGATTTCGAATCTTACCGAAAAAGGTCCTTGCAGTTTATTAATATGTAATTCATACCCTTTCGTTTGAATTATCAGTATCAGCAATTTTGGACCTTATCAACAGTTAAAAGTCAAAGATTTTGAGTCTAATCATGAAGAAGTTGATTGAGTCCAATAGAATTGTTTAAAATGATCTTCGAACATGGGATCCAACCAAAACCAACTGCACACATGATCGCGTAAGGACACTTGAGTGTCATTCCACGAGTGCCTCAATCATACAAATCATCAGCATCTGTCGTTTTGGAAATCTGTTAGTCTTCCTCTTCCTAAGGCAAAATATTACTACTAGTCTCGTCTCTACTACTACTACTTACTGGAAAAAATGCCAGTTCAATCAGAATAAAAACTTAACAAAGAACATTTAATTCAACTTCAATACATTTTCAGATGTTGATGGAAGGATCATGCGTCTATTTTTTACCATCACGTCTATTCTGCTACAAGTCGTCACGTCACAATTGAATTCAACGAGTTCATCTAGTCCTCAGGTAGGTAAGTCAAAGGTCACCAAGGTTAAATAGGTTTTTGAAAAAAAAAAAACTTTCGAGCCAGAGTAGGTAAGCAGATGTAACAGTGCGCAATACATCAAATTACATAGAGGGTGAGTCAGGGGGCGTTCATAACGCTAAAAATCAGATTTTTCACTCCCCTATTCTCCATCGTAACGCACCCGTAACACAGGTGTGTGTGTACCCCTACGTAAGTAACGCAGTTTGAAATACCCCCCCCCTCCCGGTACATTGGTGCATAAAGTAGGTTTAAACCCATTCCCACCTATGGAACATTAAATATTTTATGAACGACCCCTTATGAGACACTCAAGTTTCAAAACATATCTTGGAAAATTTACCATACCCATCAAAAGCGGAAGACACATGTCATATTTCAAACATATTCTCTTGGAGGATTAGTTATTCTCGTTTATTTTATTTAATGAGTTAATTATTTATACTTAAATTATTTAAGAAATAAGTACGTTCATTAATTTTCTTCATACAAGGCAAGCTGCATAAGGAGAAACTGAAATAGGTGCTTAAATTCCAGTACCATAGCCTTTACGGAGAGCCTTCAGCAGTGCTGCAAAAATAATTTGCCACCAAAAAAATATGAAAATTTTAGGACGGACAATGCAGAACCAATCATTCATCAAGAGTTTTCCATACTTTTTCTTGGAAACAAAGAGAGCAGAAAATATTTAAGAATGTAAAGTAGCTAAAACCTCTCGTGGGAGGCTAAAATTGTTTGATTTTAATTCAAAGTTGCACAACATTGACGAAACCACTCTAAACTTGACCTTCAGACCAATAGAAAATACTTTGTGCTCAAAACTGGGATAATTCCAATTTTTAGACTGAATATGACAAAGATCGAAATCCTGAAAATTTTTCTTTGTGCACTTAAGTGTCTTTTCCTGTATAGGATCACGTTTTTTTCTAGCTTACAAGAAATTAACTAATCTAAAATGTATCAACTTTTATCAGGAACAAGCAAACACTACGAACCAAACGAAATTGGACCTTGATAAAACGATTATCATGCTCTCAGCTACTGAACTTCCTTTCCAAGTATCTCAACCCTCCCCTCCGTTTAGGCAAGGCCAACTGTCAAAATACCAAAGCGTGATTTTAGAAGGTGGGCTGAAGCTACTTCCTAGAGTATCATCAGCTGCTAAGAACACTTCACATCCACCACGGACAAGGCGGCAGTCGGAACATAAAATCATGTCAGGAAAAAATAGTCAAAACAAACCGGAGGCAGAAAAATACAATAGTACTACTCTAAGAGACAGAGAAAAAGAGAAGGAGGTGAACTTACATATAAATGAAGACAGGGTGGTAGATGGCCAATCTCCGGCCATTTGTGATAAATGCGGTAAAAAAAAGAAAGACAAACAGCGATTGAACAAGACAGAGATGGAGGTGAACTTACATATAAATGAAGACAAGGTGGTAGGTAGTCAATCTCCAGCCAATTGTGATAAATGCGGTAAAAAAAAGAGAGACAAACAGCGATTGAACAAGACAGAGATGGGTACACAATACAAATTAGAGGAAAACAAGGAGTCGAACATTGAAGGTGATGACTACGAAGATGATGACAATGCAAATGATGAAGAGGAAAATGATGAAGATGACACCTATGATACGTACGAAGAAGATGATGTTACCGAGAATGATGATACAGTGAATGATGAGAATGAATCAAACAAGTCAAGCAGTGAATTAAAGAATTTGGAATCTGCGGAGGTTAAAAAATGCTCAGAGAAAAGTCTTAATCATGAGAACTTCGACAACACTGATGAAAAATTACACAGAATTAACAAGAGTAGCTCTTGTACTGCAAAGATTGGAGAAAAACAGAAAAAACTAAATGGAGAGGCGACTAAAAAAACTGAAGACATAGAAAACGGAAATTATCAGGCAGCAACAGACAAATTAAATAAAAAACAAACGAAAGTTACTGGGAGTAATATCAATGACAGTAGTGTCAAAAGCAAAGGAAAATATTTCAATATTGAGCCAACATCACAATCGTGTGAAATAAACCAGCGCCCGGACTCGACAATGAAAGAGTGTGTTGATGGTACGAAAAAACGGGGAAACAATACCAATGAGGGAGAAATAATGCAGAAAAAACTTAAGTCAAGAGACAAGAACAAAACTCTAGCCCGTGCTCGGGATTTGTGTGCAAGTACAGATAAAATTGGAGGTCTTGCAAATTTGGAGAAGGAGAAAACAGGGCAAGATGGGGTCCATGATTTCCAGGAAAAAGAGAGAGAAGCGAATCGTCCGGCAAACACTGACGTGAGGGTAGATAACCAGTTTCGCATCAAGGGTGATAAATGTGATAAGAGGGTGGATGACCAGTATCCCATCAGATGTGATGAATGTGGTAAAAAGAAGAGAAATAAAGGGAAGAAAACAAAATGTGCTATCGACTTAGCAGAGCAAGGAATAAGAAATCCATCCAAATCAAGCAGCTGTATAGAAATAAGACATGAAAATACAGCTTCAGTCGAAAAAAGTTGCTCATTTAAAAACAAGGAAAAAGACAGAGAAAGTAATGAATCAAAGAATTTTAATGATGATAATTGTAGAGGGTTAACAACGGCCCAAAAAAGTGAAATAAGAAAATTCATCAGGAGCAAATACAATTCTGAAAAAGGATCAATGAGTACCAAAGGTTCAGCTTCTTCAAAAAATGAAGAAATGAATGATGCTCATGAAAAACATGAACCAAAAGAAAATCCTGGAGATATAAATGAAATAAACAGTCAAGAGAAACCCAAGAAAAAGAAAAATGATAATAATTCCAGACTACTCTTTAATAATGGAGCAAAAACAATTGATCATCTGCAAAGAGTTGTGCAAAGTAACTTGGATGGTCAGGAAGAAAAAAATAAAGCTCTCCGAGGAAGAATTTTTCATCCATCAACACAAGAAAATTTAGGAGAACAAGAGACAAGCGTTTCTGTATTGCCTGCTGAATCATCTCATCAGAATGAAACTTTAACCACATTATTAGTGGAATTGAATGAATGTATCACCAGTTCACCCACAGCCAAATTCGTCACAAAATTCACAACAACTACCAGTGACAGGAGGAGCAAAGGAATGTCTAGGACACTACCCGACTCAAAAACAAAAGAAACTACCGACCCTTGTTCAGAGGGTGATGTTGCCAGAGTGACAAGACCAGAAATTACAACTTGTTTTGAAAATGACCCAAGTACATTGGATGTCTTGAGATTAAAAATTGAAAGTCCCGGTTCTGAGGTTGAGGAAGTAAACTCAAAGAAAAACAAAGACACCTCAACATTAAACAGCGTCCCATCCACTACACTACATCCATCGGATCTCTGTGCTGCAACAGAGCCACGGTCATTTGAAACTAAAGATGAATCACTCGCAGAACAATCTGTAAGACACCTGAGTTGTGCTGATAACATGAAACTTGGAGAAATACTGAAACGGACAGGTAATAAAGACAAAAATCGGAAATGGCTGAAGCACGATGCAGAGATAGGAAAAAATACTTTTAAAAAACCGTACCAAATGTATCTCAATATGCTTAACTTGCTCACGAAGAAGTCTGCGAGATCCAGTGCCAAAAAATTGAATGACATACGAATGCAGGAGCAATCATCTGATCAAGTAAGCCCAAAAATTGCCTTGCAAGAGGAAGCTACATTAGAAAATAATATTGTTGAGGACTATGCTACAGATTCACCTCAAGTCCTCAAGAGCCAGTCTAGCAGGCCAATCATGCTGCTTCCTGATTTAGGAAACTCTAAGTCCAATGATGAGATTTCTCCTTCTGATGAAAAAATCAGTATCGATTTGATGCTAAAAAAGAAAGCAAATGAAAGGTCATTGATTCTGCCTACTGACAGAAAAAATCTTGAGGATCGAATGTTAATATCCTCTCAGTTCAAACCTAGAAAAGCTTCCCATCTTCAATTCTTCAGGCAGCGTCTCTTAAAAGAAGATGAGAGGGAAAAGTCGAAAAAGAGAAAGAGTAAAAAATCGAAAAATGAAAAAGAACCATCAGTTTATGAAGACTTGGTTGAAGAGAGAATTTTAGAATCTAAAACGGATGATACAAATGCGGGTGATCTTCGGATGACAACCGTTGGAAAACCACGGAGTGAAATTAAAGCCCTTTTACATGTTTTGCGTAGATCAAAAGTAAAGAAGTCTCCTAAATACTGTCCAAATGAAACAATTACATACTTATCTAAATCTGCTATGAGTGATGGTGATGGAGATAGCTACAATATGAAACAAACATTCCATGGAGAAAAAGAGGACAGGTTTGCAGACGTAAAGACCGAGACAGAAGAAGAAGAACTGGCTGAGCAGTATCCACTAAAGCAGCTGAAAAAGGAAGCTATGAAGGGAAAAAATCTTGAGGACGAAACTGAGTTTAGAACTGAGCCTAAGAAATTCTTCAGTGAGCAAGGCTTCAACGGTGTAAATAGAGCTCATATTAGACGAAAAGAAAAAAATATCAAATATGGATTCAATGCTGATAGCAGCCACCCTAGACGTAATCATCAGACCAAATTTAGGATTCTCAAACAGCTTGTGCCTCGTTTTGTTTTCAAAGATCCTTGCACAAAGAGCTTGGATGAACAAATGAATCATCATAATGGATTTTGGCACAAAACAGTGGACCTAGGGTTGAATGATGATGCAAATTATTCGAAGAAATCTGTAAAAATGCTTGGGAAAAAACATAAGAAAGTTTTATTAGTTCAGAAAAAGAGTCACTCCCACAAATTTCCTGACAAGGAAGGGAGACGCACAAAAGAAAGCATTGATCCTGTTTCAGCTTTGGTACAGCTAATGAGAAGTGAGCAGGAAAGTGAACACAACATGCTGCACAACAGACAGGTTGAGGATGACGTTTAGAATGATATCAGTGTAAGAGATAAAAATGACCGAAATAATTTACATCTTAAAACAGCATTAATGACTTGGGAAGACCAGAAGACAAAAAACATAAAATATTTTATAGATCTGAGAGCCTTGAGATACATTTCAGAAATTCACAATACACAGAGAAAAATTCTGGCGAAGGCGGGTCAAATGAAGAGGAATTCAACTTTGTATATAGTACCTAGAATTAAATGAAAATAAGAATACATACTTGAAATTAGAAAAGTTATTTCCAAAGCTCAGTTAAGAAGAGCGTATTTCTGATCGCAGCTTTCCAAAGCTCCATTTATGTTTATCTTTCTACAGCAACTAATCAACAATATTTCTTTTAATGCTCTATGAAGTTGTTCCACTGTTTCAAAAAAATTTACTGAGAATCTAAAGGAAACATTATAATTTGTTTATTTATAAGGAATTAAACATACTTGGATAATTTGAAACATTTCTACCAAAAACGAATTTTTTTTACTTTAGCCATCATTTATTTTTTCCCTTCTTTTTTCATTTTCTGTTAAAACTTTTACACATGCATTTTTTGACAACTTGATAGTGGTGGCAGTAAAAACCTGTAAACTAAACCACAGGAGAGTCATTTATGAATATTATGAAATAATTGGTTTTCATCTTGATTAGTATTCAAGTATTCAAGGCATTACTATGGTAAGTAATAAATGATATGTCAAGCCTCAAACCACGGATTATTTTGTATTATTGAGAAGAGTTCTCTTAAAAATTTGATTGATAGGAAACGAGACACAAGCTTCTTGGCGCTTGCCTCATGCCTCACATCGAAGGCATCTATGAATCTTTCTTGTCTTAATTAAGGTCAGCCGAAGTTCTGAAGGAAAATTAAGTAAGATGATAGGTTGCGTAGCGATCCAACTAAAAGAATCCACCAAATTTTATGGCCCCCAACTCACAATGAATGAAATAGAAATATATGAAATAGAAAAAGCCTCCTCCTTAAAATTTAAAAATTTTTCAACTTTCAGGATGATTCTCCCTTTGCTCAGCTTACCCCCAAAGGAGATCTGAAGAGCTACGAGGTGATGAAATTTAGACTACTAAACCTTGGTTGCCTTCTGTTCCTAAAGAGATTATGTCAAATTTGCAATCAGACAGCAAGTCGTAACATGATAAGATGCAAGGGCATAGTCTTCCCCTTCGAAGGATTATATTTTCACAGGGAAACAAGCTAATGAAAACTTTCAGAAGCCAATTTAGGTTAAAATTCTTCTCATTTCCTAAGGTGTATTTCCTATTCAACAATTTTCACGGTCTACGACTTTGGACCAATTAAAAAATTGAGGAAAAAAACTCGGTGCAGGTAGCCTGAATTACCCTATACTTCACAGCAGTCAGTTACAGGTAATACTGGAGACCTGACAGTGATTTCTTTGAAATCTAATAATAATTTTGTAATAAAAAAATTAAGTGAACAATGATCAATTTTTTATTCACCTTAAAAGAAGGATTTCTAAATACACAAACAAATAGACAGGAGACAATGACTAATAATAATAATAATAAGAAAAAAAATTAAATCAGAAAACGATTAAATTATGAGCACACCATCAGCATAAACGGTGCGAGACGATTTTCATTTTTGAACACCATGGATCTGCACGCTATACAGCCTTAGTGAGGTGGGATCACAGTCTATATAATTATGTACAGCCGTTAGTTGCAATTCATCTCTTGATGAGGTAGCGCTACTGTATTAATGGTGCCTACTCATGATAGTGCTCTCGTAAGAAAAATTTGGAGCTGATTTTACGACAAATTTGTGCTTTGTACACAATAAAAAAATGGGAATTAGTATGCCAAAAAAATAAGTTGAAATAATTTTAATCCTAAATACTGAATCTGTAGATTGAACTGCTCTTTCTTTTTTGGGAAAAATAAGGGATCCTGAAAATGTCTCATAAATATGATTTATTTAAACACTTTACTGATTGCAGAGAATTAAATATCTCAGTCTGAGTTACTCTCATCCTTATTAACTGATTTGTAACTATCGATATTGAAAGTTTATAATTAATTGTATAAATAAACATCAATTAAAAATCATGAGCCATCAACAACCCCCCCCCCTCCTTTGTATGACCTATCCATGTCAAAATTGTAATGCTCCCTTTATACTGATAGGGTGCTGTAATTTACCGATCTTCAACAACAATAAAATTTAATAACGACAACAACGTTAATTCAATTAAGTAGGTTAAGATATACTTAGCACAAAATTACAAATGACCTAACTTGAAAAATTACGATGATGCCTTCATGTAAAAATAAACTCTGGGTGAAAGATTTTCATTTTTTTATTTTGTATAGGAATTGGCATTATTGAAAATTCAATAAAACGTGAACGTTGACTTAACACTATAATACTGAAGGCTAAAATGCCATGATACTGTTGATTTTAGTTGGACTAAATTGACAGTGTTTTAGTCTGAATAGTTGAGTCCTGGATGAACTCACTTTTACGTTTTTTACGCGCGAATAGAATGGAATTTAAATTAAATTAATGATTGGAGGAGATTAGAATGAAATGACTGTTGTTATCTATAATGCAAAATTCATTGCAAGAGGCAGTAATAACTTAATATATCAATAGCCAAAGGAAAAAATGTTTTATTCATTCCAACAATTAAAAATTTCTGATTGTGTTTCATTTTTTCCAAGGAAAACTAATCAAAATTTATACTTGCAGTTTTGTGTGATTGTCATTGAATTATTAAAGAAAATACTTTGAAAAAGAAACCTTCGGTTGGTTTTCATTTCAGAAAATAAAACATGTGTTGAGACTCACAACACTGCAACCTAAAAACGCATTTTTTCACTTTAGCTATTGATAAATAACCAGCCTACCATTCCCTGAAGTTAAACCTCCAATTTGATTAAACATTTTTTCCAATTTGCTGAACACGCAGCGCATTAATCAAGTTTAAGTGCAATTCTAATTTAAAAACTGGCTGGGAGTCCACGTTTTGAATCGTGCAATCGTAGTCAAAAGTTTTGAGTACCCTAAGAGTTTAAATCATTGCATTATTTAAAAATTCTTAGCGTAATTACATCACAGTTGCTTATTGACTGTGTCAAGTTTGTAATACTGAAACTACAAGCTACTTAATCATTACAATCGTTTGACCGGAGGATGGAGATTTGGCATTAAACACTCTGACATGGTAGGAACTCCATCATTGAGAGACACTTATGGATATTAAACAGGTAAATACGAGAAAAGAGAAAGCTTGTTCAGACAGTAAGAAAATAAATGGGACAAATGGGCAAATAAATGGGTGCAAGTATAAAAGATTAAATTTAAAAAGCACATACGTTCTGAACAGCTAGAGTTTGGATTTCATAGCAATCTCACTCCACCATACAGGTCTTTCTGCAATTCCTCCATGCTGCGTATATGCTTCTTCAAGATGCTTATAAACCTAGAAAAATAAATGGAATAAGATCAGATATGCAAATTTGATTTAGCATTTTATGATAAATGATGGAAATAGGCATTGTAAGAACTTGGCAGACTAGAACTCTCGTTGGCGCAAGACAAAGACTGCCCTCTCAGAGCATCTCTCTCTGGACGGACAGCTTCGAGTGAACATAACTTTTGTTTGGTTTGACACATTTTATACTCATCGGAACGGCGACACCAATACCTCAATTTGGAGTTCATCAACACTCATCAGCACAAAATACCAAGAAATTAGGTGCCAGTTAAATTAAAATATTATTAGAAATTATGTTTTTTAAGACCTTTCGGGTCAATCAGCATTTCGCATCAAACTTTACATGTGCCCATGTCAAAAAAAAGGCAGGGCTAAAAGGTGAATTTTTCAGCACTGTCACACAAATTTTCTTGTGGGGATGTGCCACTGTTACTAAGCGTTTGGTCATTTGATTTTTATGTGTTACAGGATAAGGACCTTCATCTTAAAAGTGTTACAAAGGGGGAGGGGGAGATAAAAAATCCAAAATTTAGCAATACGTATTTTAGGAACGACTCTTATTCCCAAAATTGGCACAACGAAAGTTCAATTTTCAAAACTCATCATGCTCAGAAAATCGAAAAAGGACATCACATCGATAATATTGAAATCTAGCCATACAGCTTTTCATGCAGAGTCCTTTAGGATAGAATTTACGCAAAATAAAAGCTTCCAATAACAAAAAGAGCATTCAGTCAAAAGCTGCTTATGTCTAGAAACTAGACCTGTGCCATTATGGATTTTTTGATTCAATTACGATTAACGAAGTCAATCGCAATTACGACCATGATTACAATTAAAATCGGGAAAAAACTGAAAAAGTAAAACAGAGTGCGATAATTTTTTTTTCTTTTCTCTTTTATGGTGACCATAAACAAAGTTATTTTTTGGCTTTTGTGACCAAAAACAAAGTTGAAGTATATAAGTTCTTGAAGGTATTTTTTTTAAAAAGTTTAAAAGCTGATTGTTTTCCTCTGATATTTTATTTTCTTCCTTCACTTGAGGTTGACTCATTGTCTATTTTTTTCAAAAGATCCTTCCCACCCAAAATATACTGGACTTCTTCCCGCTTTTTGGCTCAAAAAGAAGGGAGAAGATCTTTTAAACTGCTGATCTGTACTGCCGGCCTCTTCAATCAAAAGTATTCAAAGAACTTTTCTCATTGACGTGAAATCGCGGCACAAGCCCGATGGGGATATTTTCGCAGGGTTATCACTATTTTCAGTGCGAGTTTTTACCGCTAAGGGCTAGCAGCCCACTACTGTGGACGTGACTCAAATTCGAACAAACGCAGCGGGAGTTTCAAATTCAAAATGAGGCGCAGAACTGGACATTCGTGAAGTCAAATTAATTAATTCAATCACGATTAATTTCTCAAACCGATTACGTTTACAATGAAACAAATTAATCGCTATTACAATTAATGTTTGATCAATCTCACAGGTCTACTAGAAACCTTTCAAAGGGACTTTTGCAGATTCATAGGTTAAGATTTGCAGAGTCTTAAAAAATGCTGAGTTTAACCACTTAAGGTAAATGCCTATGAAGAACTAATCTGAAAATTAGTAGAGGAACTTACTTCTCCATCAGCAAAACCAAGTACAGAGTTGAGAATAAAGTCAGGAGGAGCAAATGCATCAGCTAATGCTACAGCGTCTGGTCTTAAAAGCTGACATACTTCCAAAATAGCTTCTGAGGTCAATTTTGATAATGATGGACCGGATGCATAGCCACCTGTTAGAGGAGATAATCATTGGATTAAGTGGTTCAAAATCAATGAGAGCTCAGACACATACAAAAACTACCTGTTACCCTACCATATATATATCACACATTGTCTGATTTCCCCTTTATAAAAAATAATAATAATTATAATAAATTCTAGAAATCAATTTCTCAGCATTCTCAACTCATATCAGACCAATTCACAAAATTAAAACGTGTAAAATGATGTAAAATTGCGATGTTCCCAAACGGTCTCCATTTCAAGCATTACGATCAATGTAGCTTAACCTTGGTGATCGGGCGAACAACTCTGCACTAGACGCCAACTTTCAACCGCGCAGTAATGAGATCCTTTGTTCAGCAGCCAATCACAAGTCACCGCGGCGCACGAGATTTGAACTTCGCCACAACAGAGCCCGCGCAATACAAATTCAGCGGCCAGCGGCAGCTTTCCCGCCCAATTCACTCCTGCTTCGCCAACCGACCAATCACAAGCAAGTTGGTTTCCCGCCTTCGCACACAAAGGAAATCTGCATATAAATATACCCGCAAGTCGCTAATTAATTTACTCTGAATGCAGCAGTCGACCAAGAAGCACCTCACTCTCAAGCTCTCAACAAGGATCAAGTCAAATCAAGCCAAGCAAGCAGCTGAAGAATCATCCTAAGGAGCTCAGCAAGAAATTGGCGTTTTTTGAATCAAGACCGAAGTTCAGTTTCCCGTTATATTGGCACCAAGGTCAAGCATTAGCGGTCATCATTATACAGAACGAAGCAAATTCAACATATCAAGCATTCAAAATTATTCACCTTCAAGTCATCTCTATTTCGGACTCATACAGTTTGTATACCACCTCCAATTTGGAGAAGCCGATTCTTCGGAATCTGGAATTAATAATAAGTGCAGTAGCACACAGCTCTCAATATTCAAACCCTTCTGGTTTTCCTGCTCACTGCAGAAGCCGGTGTACTATACGCCTGGTAACCCTTCAGGTTTCCTATCCAAGGATAGTAGCCGATTCACTCTGAGTCTGGTAAAAATAAAAACTCCAAGCAGGATCTCTTCCAGATCATTAAATCAATTTTGCAGTCACCTCAAATCTTTCTCTTCTCACTCTCATTTTCCGAGCCAAGGCAAATTGGGGGGTCGCTGCGGCTCTTCACTTGTCTCGCTTCAATACCTCATATCCTATTCCATCTTTTCTTTCTTTCCTATCATTTCTTCAATTGGTCCCTCGGTACAATTCACTTTCAACCTTTAGGTCTGTTGTTGTTTTTTCATCATTTTTTAAGCCGTCACTCTTCACACATAATTCTATGTGTCACAAGAAAATTTACGGCAAATAATTTCTCTTTGTACGGAATCTGTTTTAGTACATACATCTTAAGATTTGTATTCTTAAAAGTCTTTAAACAATTTTCAAAATCCGGTTAGAAAAATTTAATTTCAATTTTGGAACCGACAAGTGCTAAGTATCAACATGAATTTGCTTTGTAAAGTATCCTTCTTTTACAGATATAAGAGGCATCTGCTTCTGTGATTGTCTTCAAACTTTAAACTATCAAAAAAAAGTTCGATTAAGGAATAAAAATAGATGAAACCCAGGAATTTAATCTTCAGCTTTTAAAAAAGCGAAAGATTCCAAAATGCCAATCTTGCTCCTGATCTGGAATTTCAGCTTCTTAGCTGAATTTTTGATTGCCTCACAGGAAGATAGGAAAATATCAAACTTGCTCTACCTATTTTAATTTATTGAACAAGGTTAAACAAGAGAGAAAAAGAGAACATCACATTAGAAAGCTGCCTCCATCTAAAATTTGCCTCTTGTTTGCCAAAATCCATAAATCAGGAGCTGCGCATTTTTTGCTATCCTTTTGTTTCAGTCAGAAATTGTTTTACCTTCATAGAAAACACGAAGATGCTTCTGAATACATGTTAGGCCATAAAGGATGTGTAGGTTTTCTAAGACTGGTCGTAAAGAAAGATCTGCTTCCTGTATAGATGCAGCAAAATAGTTGAGGACGGTATTCTACAAGAGACCAAAACATTAGATTAAGATTAAGCGGGAAAAAAGAAGTCTTTCGCAATATTTTCATGATTTTCCTCAGAATGATATGTTGTAGTATAATCTATAAGACACACTTGGACACGTAATAGGGTTTATAAACTATGGTAACCATGGGCACTTCTAAACTTTCATTTGTTTTTAACTTAAAATTTTAATGCTGACTATTAAAATGGTAACTCTAATTTCACGTTTCGGTCATGACTAGAGATTTGCAGAGATACATTTTGCCAGAGTGAGCCAGTAACATACAGCTATTGCGAATCTATGGAAAAGCAGTCTAAACGCTCTAAAATCTGCGGGCTATCAATTCATTACATACGTACAGCCAAGAATAGCGTGGCTTGGCGCATAGACTGCAACGAATGTTGATGCACATTCATTATTCACAGAAATATTGATTTTTTTAGTTGTTTTTCACTTTTATTAATTTTTTTTTGTCCAATTTAATTTTTTTTAGCATCCTCATGTAATTAAAAATTAAAAATGTCATTAATTACAATAAAGTTAAAAAACATAGAAACAATGAGGTAAAGATTAACAAGTAAATGATTACCTCAGCAAAAGCTAATGATAGGGTCTGTGCATAAAACACTTGGACATTATTTTTAGCCATGAATGCGTTTTCACCATCATCCAAAGAGGACTCCAACCGTTGCTTTGTTTCTTTTATTAGCCAGCACAGTAACCATTGGTAAGCTTCTATCAAAACTATAACATATCAAAAGATACTTGCTATTAGAACAGACTACAGTCACATGACGTAAACTTTGTAATTACATACTGGCAAATTTTTCTTATACATATTTTAAAATATTGAAGGAGCTTCATGAATTATTTGTGCAGAAATGAAGTACAGACGACGCTTGATCTAAAATTTTGCGAAACAGTGTTTTACCAGATACAGCTTTTGATTTTCCAATCACTGCAGAAGTATTAAGATACACGATTTTCTGGAACCAGCAAAGAAAATTCACAGAAAATTTCAATGAAGATGATTGGTTTATTCTTCTTTAAAAAAACAAAAGCAGAGACCTACAACATTGCAATCTAAAGTACGCATTTCTTGGCTTTAGCCATCAATAAAGTCTTGGTTCGAGATACTAACAAGTGTAGACTTCAAACCCTGCATTAATGTCCTTTCTTAAAACTTCTTACAGCAGAAAAATATGAATTTATATGAATCTGAAAAAAAACAAAATTCTAAAACCTTGGGTCATAATAATTTGTCACTTACAATCTACCCTTAAAACTTCATTGACGGAGTTTGCGCTGAACTTGAGAGATAAGTTGCTTTCAAAATTTCTAAGAAATTCCAATTCTGAGGCTGGAAATCTGGCACCATCAAAATCTAGATCTGGAACTTCATCGACTGCTCTAAGTAACCATCTGCTGGTTTGTTGTAAAAGAACATGATTGGCACCCTCATAGGTTACGCAAGGATCATGATTTGCCCTGATGTCGCCTAGTCGAGCAGCTGTAAAAAAACATCATGCCATAAATATTAAAAATCATCAAAAAGGCAATGGCAAAATTGGTTCATGGATCTGGCACATATAGTGATTATTAGCTGAAAACATCCAGAATAAAAGATTCGTGACTTCATCATGACATTATCTAGTTACAGAAAATTTGAAAGAAAGAAAGTGCAGAAAGGTTACACAACAGGATGCCACAATATGCGACGTTTGTCGTCTTACATTAAAGTTTTCATAGTTTCAATTAAAGCTATAAAGGGATGAACCACTAGGTGCGAAGTTGGGCATGCTGATACATGTTCCTTGACCAAAATTTCACGTAGAAAACGATTTGCTCAGCAAAAATTACTGAAATTAAATCCTTACCAAGATATTTAATGTTTCTTGGCGCGTGAATTCAAACCTCCCGCTAATGAAAAATCAATGATCCACGTGAATCAAATCGCACACTAAACGTTACCGGGGCAGTCTCTGCAATACGAAAATGTGACAACCTATATCTTGACGCTTTGGCTCAACTATAGCAAAATGTTAACACTTTGAACAATACAGGGTAGGAGAGGGACAATACTGAATTGAGAAGCCTGCCAAAACCATAGGAAGATGCGATTTGACTCATGTAGAGTATTGCGTTTCTTATGACCGGGCAATTCAAATTTCCCGTTACTAATGTAAAACAAAAACGTTCATATCTTATTTAGGAGTTGATTTTAGTAATTTTTAATGCAAGAATTGTGTTTTGCATGAAATTCTGATTAAGAATCATGTATCAGAATACTTGAATTAGTACCTTGTCTAGTGGCACATTGAAATTGAATGAGTTTGCAAGACAGTTAAGTGAGTCAGTAGTGAATTCTTAAACTTTACATGACCCAATTACGTTTTCGATTGTCAGAAATGCTTCAAATGGCATGAATGTAAGTTAAAGCTGATAGTTACAGTCAGCGAATAAAAAAGTTGAAAACGTAAATAGGATTCAAAATTCTGCGAACTTTAAAACTTAGAGGGAACTAAAAGGGTACCTTTGTGATATCCATGACCTCCACAAGCTTCTCGACACTCTTGCACCGCATCTCTACATGTCCAAGTTAGTAAGGCTTTACAACAACAAACGATAGCGTGTACAGCACTAACCATTTGGGACTGAAATAATTAAAACCATAAGTATGATAAAACAATGCAAACTTAACAATTTGATAGTAGAACATGCTATTGTCAATTGGATTGCATTTTGCAAAAAGGAACCACTAGCATTGCAATGTTGCTAAGATTGTGCAACTTCTTTTGTCTTGGAGGAAAAACCCGATTATCCATTAATAGTTTCTATTTTACTCGCTAAAAACTGTAAATTTAAGACAAAAATTACCATCTAAATTTCATAGTTTTTCACGATTTCTGCAAGTTTAATGCAAAAGATGAAGTTGCACAATCTTAGCATCATTGCAATGCTAGTGGTTCCTTTTTGCAAAATGCAATCCAATTGGTGTTACAACAGGCAGGAACAAGGAATTACCTGCCAAAGACTTTCAGATTAGTCTTTACTTAAATAGAGGAAGGGATTCACCTCAGATACATGGGTGTTGAGTTCTGTAATTTATAGACGCTAAAATAAAAACTTAGTTGAGAATCTCTTAAAAACTGACTTCTTCAATTAATTGGTTTAATCATAGGGATTCAACTTCCTTCTAAATCTGCATGCTGATTATTCTTTTGGTCAAAAAGTAGATTATCTTAAAATAAAGGGGCAATGTCACTGGTGGAAATGCGAAAATTCCTCGATGTTGGTTGATAAACCCAGGGTGATCCAAAAGTTCTGCACCAGCTCAATAACCTGTAGGGTTTCCGCCCCTTTTTAGGGTAATTCCTTTAAAATATTGGCGAGTCTCAAAAGTGACCTGACCGTACTCACAAAATTTTAAGTTTCCATCTCAATTTGTTCAAAAGTTACAGGGATGATGCCTAGTTCTGGTGGTGCAAGACTTCCTGATCACCCTGTATAGTTACTTTTGATACTTACCTAAGCAAAACCTGCCCTAAATAACTGTTTTGAAGCAGTGCATCTACTGACAGTGTATGATTTTTCTACTTCATGAATGGACATCACCTCATTCGCTCATAACGATGCACTGATCGACGGAGAGAAATTATCAACCTACCGCTTGAATGTGGTAAGATTCAAGCGCTGTGAATACGGACGAGGTAAATAAATGTGATGGAAAACTTTTTTTGTGATCACTCAAAGAGATTAAAATAAAATTACAAGCCCCTATTACTCATAACTGAAGGCTCTCAAGCCAATCCTGGTTCTCCCGGCACAGGTTCTGTTTACAAAAATGTTTTTACAGGTACATGAAAGCAATATAGTACACAATAAATATAAAATCATGCAAAATAGTGAAGAGAGGATCACTTACAACAGTCTTAATGGTATCTTCATTGGCGTTCATTGAAAATCTTACAGTGTCTGCGTATATCAAAACAAACTTTCGGACAAAAGCTCTCTGAGCATAGGCTGCTGCCAAGAAAGGAAATAATCGCCATTGCTGAGTGAAAAAGAACAAAACAATGAGAATAGAAAGTTAATGATAACAAGATGCAGCCACACACAAACTAAGTGATGAACGATATGAGATATGAGTGAGTTCACTGCTTATAAGGTGTAATGGTTGATAATTTTCAGTTAGAGACTTCATCTTTGAACAGAGGACTGGACGTAACTTCTTTCCACTTTATCTCCTTCAACATTGAAACTAATTCTGTGCCCACTTTGACTTGGGTGAATTATGTTTTTTTAGCAAGCAGGGAAATTAAATTTACAAACACGAAACGTGCCGATTTCCCACAAAAAATTACAAAACGGAAATTTTTAGTAAGTTGGCTGTTTACAATTTTAAATGTTGATGAGAATGCATGTGTTGCGATGCTTGGTTTCTGACATTGTCTGGTGCTTTATTGATAGGAGAGAATGCTAGCATTTAAACGTAAAAAAGGAGGGGCTTGCCTGCAATTGGTAATCCAATAAAGACGTCTCAGTTTTATTATCATTTGAGAATTGCGTTCTGACTCCAGAGTAGCGAATGGCAATTACAGTTGCAACTGACAAAGAGCACACACTTTCTTGCATGATTCCAATTCTTCCAGCTGATAAGGTTTCAAGAGCAGCGCCTGCTCATCACCAAAAAAGAAGGTTAAAAACGCAGTTGTGGCAAAAAAGCATTGAGAAATTTCTTGACAGTATAGAAATAGAAGTAAAAGATAATTATATCTTTAACTTCTATAAATTAGATACCTATACTTACAACCATTATATTTGAGTATAGAAATAGATTTTGGATATGGAATGAAATCGTTCTTTGCTAATTAATTTTGAATTTTTTTTGAGAAACTTGATTATTTTATAGTTTGCAGAAATATAATTTGACATACATAATTCCTAAGCAAGAAGATAAAATATAGAGACTGACTGACTGGATAAATTGGAGTTTGAGAATACAGAAAAAAGTCCATTTCAGAGGAAATTCCAAAGAAGCTAAACTTAGTGACTTAGTCTAAGGCAAGTGCCCATCAAAATTTGGATTTTTTTATGAAAAAAGAGGATGAGGGGAATAAAATTTTAATTTGTGAGAAGGATGCCTAAAGAGGAAGAATAACAATAATAAATAATAAAAAAATAAAAAAAAAAGAGAAAAAGAAAAAAAAAGAGAAAAAGAAAAAAGGGGGATTGAAACTTTAAACATTCTACAATTAAACAACGCCAACTGAACTGAAAACATTAAAATAGGATGGGTATTTTAAAGAGAGCTGAAAAAGGTATAGGTGCTTCCTGAAATAATAATAGAGGAAACATAACACAATTTTTCAAAGTTATTTACTGGAATACTGTCATAATCAGGAGAAAAATTCTCATTAGTGGTGCAAATCTTTAAAAAATTAAAAAGAATAACTACCCGTCTTCTACAGAACGCATGTCCATCAAAAACAAGAAAGAGATTTAAAAATACTAAAGAAGTTAAAAACATAGATTGTATATTGAAATCATGAGAGTTAACTACAGACATACTGAAATCAGCTCCCCAATAAGCGATGAAGTTCTGCCTGTTCTTTAGTTACTCCAAAAGCTTATTAGGTGCAAATGGAATAATATTGAATTGAAAGAAATGCATACCAAGGATTTGCTGAGGATTTTGAAATAAAGATTCATATTCTCCGCTTGGAGTGATGTCACCAGTGCGGTTTAATAAGTAATCTTTGGGTATGCGGTACTTCCGAAAAATTATAAACCTGCCACCAAAAACATGCGAAATCATTTTTAATCAACGTTAACTTTCACTGGCAGGAAGATAAATTTGTGACACGAAGAACACATGGTTAGAACTCAACTCATGGTGATTACGATTTTGAGAGGGTACATTACACAACGAACAAATATCAATCTAATCCTTTTCTTCTTCCCTTATTGACTCCTTACACATCAAAAGTACTACACACACTCTTTGGGTTTGAACTACCTTTCCTAGCAGAATTTGAACCAGATAAAACTATTAAAATGGAGAACAGTTTAGTTGACGAAAAGTATTAATGAAAGGAGTAGGTTTTCAGGAGCTATCGTTTGCAGGCAAATAAAATGAGAGTAGAAAAAGCTCTGTACCTCCAGCTTTTGTTTAAACTGCTTGTCTTAAACTAAGTCACCATTTGACGTTCGCTGCTAAAAAATTCCGAAATGAAAGAGAGTTACAACTTATTTAAGGACTACCGACAAACTTTTGATATGTATCGAGGAAAACTAAAAAAATAAAAAAAACAAAACTGTGCAACATGTGTCCGAAATCCAAGATTCTCATAAAATGTTCTGAATTGTTTACTCTTCATTGTGTCTATGTGACTGTAACTTTCAACTATCACACCCCAGAATAGATAGAGAAGTCCATTTGGATAAAGTTAAAAAACAAAAACAAAAACAAAAACAAAAAAAAGGCACCGAGTCACTTTTTGGGGAAAAAAGAGTCCAGAGTAGTTTCATATTTAGCTAGACATGAAATTTCTCCTGTTGAAGATTTCAAGTCAAGAAAAAATATTATGAGCGTAAAATTAGTTGATAATCTTTGTCCTTAACATTGAGTCTTAGGAATTGGTGTTGAGTAGTTCTTCATCTAAAAAGTACACGATGAAAGGAAATTTGCAATGTCACAAACAAGATACATGATTTGGGAGTTTCACCATCAATATGTGATCAAAACATTATCAAGCACTGCAGCATTCTTAAAAATAATTAAGTATCATTGATCAAACCAATTGAAGACTCACCCATTATCGATACCATTCAAGCCTGCCTTGTCTCCCATATCCCCAACAATGATACCAGGATATGGGTGCATGGTGTACGGGTCCCGAATCGGCACTATGAAGACGTGAAGTCCATGACACTGTTTTCCTACAACTAACTGAGCAAATAGTAAGGCATGGGTGCACTGTTTTCCTGAAAGAAAAGACACAAGTTTAATCTAAGTCTTAACATTTAGAGGAGCTACAAAAATTGGGTGAAGTTGATCATTTATTGAAATAAATATCTCAATAGTTATCACAGCAACGTCAGACAGATACCTGACAGATGACACTTGTTAAGATACACTTTTGAACTTAGATGAGATAAAGATTTTAAAGCAAAAATTATTGCCTATGAATCTATGATCCTTGACATTTCAGGTCAAAATGCAGTAGTTTGCAGAGTGACCAGAAAATTTTAAAAAAAAAGTGTAAACGTATCGATGGCTAAAGAACAACACCGTCTGACTAATAATTTTGGCAAAAATGAGTTACCGCTACAGTATAAGCTGATGTTTTTAGTTTTTTCCAATGCTGCATGGGAACAAGGTAATGACACTGTAATGAATAGAAAAAGTTGCAAACTTAACCTCAAAATTAAAAAAATGACAAAGATTTTCTTCATCCTAAGAGAATGTCAGTTAGCAGATAGGCGGTATCGTTCCTCGGCCATTGATACTATATAAAATAGAAAAAACACTAAAATTATGGCTTGAATACTAAAAGTAACAGGATGTTGGAATAGTGCAGGGTCTATACTACTCCATGCAGAGGAAAGAAAAGGAAGAGAAAAAAGTATTGGAGTTACAAAATGAACGCTAATGAATTTCAGTACAAGACTCAGGGGGATGGTGTTCGCAAACTGAGCTTGATCCGCTGACAAACTTTGATAATTCCAATGTACCCGCATTGGCTGGACACTCTTTGGCCTCAGTCTTGCACTGAAACTCTTCAGAGTTCATTTCGTGACTCTAACTTAGATTTTTTGTTTTTTCTGGCTTTGATCCCCACATAGCAAAGAGTAGAATCAGCATTATTCTACCGACCTTTTACTCATGATACACTTTGAATCATTTTCCCAGAGATACAGTATGAAATAATGTTTACCTAAATTTCCTACCCAACATTTTGCTGCTTTGAAGCAAGGTGTGTTGATGATGAATTCTTTTGTATTATGATCATAGGTAGCTGTTGTCTGAAGACTTTTAGTATCGCTTCCATGAGCTACTTCTGTCACAGCTACGCAGGCTAAAATCTGAAAAAATGAGGGAACAAAATGAGAAGAGGATTTAAAGAACCTTGGTGATGGCTTCACCTAGTAATATAGACCTGATGAGGATACTCTAAATAAGTAGCTTCTTTGAGTGGAAATAAAAAGTACACACCTTGTTTGGACTGCCTTATGCAGTAAGGAACTACTATTTTGGGTCTGTAAAAAAGCACGTTTCTGCTAAGGGAACCTACTGATACTACATATGTTGTTTCTTTGTTCTTTATTTCAAAATGAAGTCTATACACATTCTCTAACCACTTTAAAAGTAAAAACGAAGGAGGCTTTTTAAGGAATTTAAACATTGAAAATTTTATTCTGAAATGCATTAGAATAACTGCTTGAACTGTCTGTGAATTTTTCACTAATTCTAAAAAAATCACAAAAAATTGCAAGGAAACATTTTGGTTGGTTTTCCTTGAAGGAAATAAAACATCATGAGCAATTTAAAAACTGGAGTTGAGATAGGCATTTTCTGCATTTAGGCCATCAGTACCTATAATGAAAACTAAGTTAACACTAAAACGTGAGACATGTTTTTAATTGTTGTTTTTTAAAATTTTCTAACAGGTATCTGGAACTTGATGATGAACTTATACACGGAGTAATCCTAAAGTCTCGCACCATCCCTACAACCCTTGGGGTTTTTGAACATTTTAGGGAGTCCCCTTAAAATTTGGAGGAAAGGGGAATCCCAAAAGTCATTTTCTTTGACTTAGGAGCACTTTTGAGTCTCCATCTTGATTTGTTTGTCAAAAGTTTCAGGGTTGTCAGATGCTTGGTGCTGGTGGTGAGGGTCTTTGGGGTCACTCTGTATTACGACGGTGAAACTACCAAACCACGTATCTCGGTTTGCGACGTCGCAGACTTCCTGTCATACTTTATTTTTTAAATGAAAAACTACTTAACATCCAGTCTTGAAAATTTCTGTGATTTTTCCTCTTTAAGCGGAGAAAATTCCGTGAAAATTTCAAGGAATGATATTGATTTGGTCTACTAAAAAAAAATAAAATGTGAGCGTAGATTTTTAAACACCGCAAACGAGATACGTGGTTTGGTAGTTTCACCGTCGATTAGAGACTACAAATTAAGAGATCCCTTAAAATTGGAAAGATCTAATCGGAGCCAGCCAACCATACCCAGAACAATAAAACGCAAAAAAAGAAGAGAGAAACAAAAATAAAAGAACGAGTTCTTGAAACCTCTGTTTCAGATGCATTTATCAAAAGAGGATGAAAAATTTGTAAAATGGTGGAAGTTGTTACCTTATTTTGCCAGACATCCTTGATGAAAGAGCTATGCCTTTCTGTGCCAAGATTTTGTACACAAATGCTGAATAAAGAGACACCGAGAGCAAATTTAACGGATAAAGAGGGACTCAGGGTGTTAACAGCTTCATTTAGAGCCATCAGGTACAACAGCTAAAACCAAAGAGAAAAGAATTAGAAAAAATGAGCCAGAAATGGAAAGAAAGATAAGATTGAAAAATGCTTGAAACGAGTGTCTAATTTCAAAATGACTAAGGACGCCTTCGACAAGAATCATCTTAAATTAGAAGAAAAGACAATCTAGCATGAGCAGTAACCCTTTACAGCCCCTCAAGACTTAACATGGTAAGAAAGACATACATTTGTTGTATTAGATGGTCAAAAAAAGCTTTAATTTGGTAAAAATGGATACCATACCATCTACCAGAATCTATGGCGTTTTCTGAATTTTTGATCTGGAGCCAATAATACAATAGGTACTGATGGTAATGAACAATTACTAATTGCAACTAATTAAAGATTGAATTGATAAACTATTTAAGTTTTGGGAATATTTAGGTTCACATAAAAGCGTATTCCTTGAACACTCAAGGTCTTTCTCCCGACCATTAATTTATCGTGGCTATTTTAAGCTATCCCACAATAGGCTTACTAATTCAGGGATTTAAAGGCTTACTTTTTTATCGTAGGAAACCCCATTGACATCATTAAAAAATTTTGACTCTCTTATCCTCATCAGTTGTTTGGCTGTGATCCTTTTTTCTTCTTCTGAGCTCATGACTGTCGGTTGCGAGTGGAAAAGAGGGTCAGACTCAAGAAATGACCATATTGCAAGCTGAAACAGGGAAAAGGCGAGATAAGTCTCCTATTACTCTTCTACCTCCCGAAAATTAATTTTTTTAAAAAAAAGTTATGCACGAGCCCATCGGGTATTTTATCGGAGGAAATTCGGCAACAGTCGAATATTCATCCGGCATTTTCCATCAGAGACAGCACAATACTGCCGTGCTAAGGGAAAACGCCGTATAGGCCTTCAGGCGTTGCCGCATTTCCTTTCATGGGATTCGAATATATTTGAATGGTTATAAATATTTGAATCCGTGAGATCGAAAACACACCACCTCGATAACTCAAAAACGCGCAACTTTCATTAAAGACGGTCAATTTTTAACCTTTAAAATTTCCTAAAGTGTCTCTCTTTCGGCACTAAACAACTTTTTCTTAGTCTACTTTCTTCATCTACTGAGCAGTTTTGTGTGTGTCTTGATTACTTTCATTTTTCCGAGTTGGTGTGTTTTCGTTCTCACTGATTCATTTGTCTTCCGATTTCTCAAGATAATTTTGTTCCCAATTCAAGCTAAATACCTAAAAATTTAGAAGAAAAATTTGCATAACATTCTTCCAAAACAATTTTTTTACCACGAGAAATTCGGCAACATAAGAATGTCAGGGTTGCCCCAGAAATCGGAAAATGAAATTCCCTGACACTTTCCTAATTTCTCTGTCACGTTTTGGTAAAATTTCTTGACAATAGAGGACATGCCAAATGCTTAAAAAGGCATGATTGGAAATAGTTTTCGGGCAAAATTCGTTGTTCGAAACGTCAAGCTGATTCTAGAAAGGAAACATAGATGTCTTGCAAGTTTCCCCTGACATTTTCGTCATTTTCCCTGACATTTCCAGGTCTTCTCTGACTTTTTAAAGTTTCCTGACTGTGGCAACCCTGGAATGTTCACACGGCGCTTTTCCTTAGCACGCCACGATGTTTGCCATACTACTATCCGACGGGAATACTATCGGATCTCATTGACTGGAGCTCGGGCGGCGAGCTTAAATGACTACTTACAGATCAGACACTCATAGATGACGCTACGCGATAATTTCATGCTCTTGCTAAATGGAATTGAAAATCCCTGATGAGATTATACGCAAGGCCATGGCTCGGAAGTGGGTGCTTTGCGCGCCTGCGCGTAAACCCAGACAATTAACACTATAATATCGTTTTAATTATATTGTTTTCTCATTGTGAAGCGATCCAAGGGAAATTAGTCACAGAGTTCCGCGCCATCCAATTACTTATATGAGTGAATGTGATAAAGTCAGGTAGAGTGGAAAAATAAATGAAAAATCTATACCATAAAGCAAAGGGGAGAGTGTTGCATCAATCGGTGCAAAGAACACCCGAAAATTCCGAGTATTGACTCCTTGGAGCAATTAGCCGCTAGATAAGGTATGAATTTATTGGACCGCGTTAAGCGGAAAGGAACCAAGCCACATCACATCAGCTATTGCGATTAACTGGGCAATTCAATTTTTCACTTGAAAATTGTGGTGCGGATTTATGTGCAAATTCCAGTGAACTTTCTGCATAGCACGGAGCAAATTCCGTATTTTCAAAGGAATCCGCACAAACGTTCTCGAGTAAAAAATTAAATCGCCCATTTAAATTTTTGGCAATAACTGATGTGGCTTGGTTCCTCTCTGCTAAACGCAGTCCAATTGGACGTATTTCTGCCAAACGGAACTATGTGCATTGAGACATGAGCCCTGAGACCCATTAGAACATCTACATAACATCCAATCTCTACGTCATAATGCTCATAGTTCCGTTCGGCAGACATACGTCCAATTAAAGCTCTACAGAACACACTTAGCTTTTCTTCAAAATTTTACGAGGAAAACGAAACACACAACGGGAAGCCTGGAGATTTATTCCGATAAATAAGATATATATGTTTCACATTAAAATGGGTGAAATGTGAGAATTAAAAATAACGCTATTTGTAAAATCTGACTTCTATTTGATCCGTGTTGAAAATGTTCGTTAATATCTCATTTAAATGTTGATTTCCGAACTTCCCGCCAGTGGTGTGGCGTGCTCTGCGATATATCGATTGATCTGTCATTTGAACCTACGGAAAATGATCGATGAACAGGCTGTTCGCAACGAACACCTTAACAATCGATTCTTTACCATGGCTTCAAATGGGAAAATATCGATAATCGATCATTCACGCCTCGCAACTGCTTCCCGTCTATGCGAATCGTTTTCCACACTACGTTCTCTCAGAGACGCACAACATGCTCGATCATGCGCCGCGCCGGCCTGGAGGAAGCTCGTGAAAATGTGGAGGGGGAAAAATTTCGTAAGGCCTTGTCTCCACGGGCCGTTTCACGAGACTTGTCCTAAGGAAAAATCCCGCTTACAAAGTCGGGAAAAATATTGAGTTAATCAATCGGGCGCGTGGCAATGTGGAAACTTGGAAGATTCTGCATCCCCGTGGTTTTCTAGTTGGGGCTCTGTTCCTAGTCGGGAGGTAGCGAGAGAAGAGAGAAGTTTTCTACGCAAGATCTTGAAATGAAAACACGTGGAATTTTGTCTTGGTTCAGGCCTCGTCTAGTGGCCCTTTCAAAGTTCCAAGCACAAAACGGAGAATCCGAGAAAAACGCAGTTGAAAGTTCGCCGGCGCTGCCATGCCGCCAGCCTAAGAAACGATTCACTTCGTATGCCTATGGAGAATTCTCTCGAATAGAGCCTCGACTTTGAGAGCTTTTTTTAGAGCTTGGAAGTTAGTTTCCGAGGAAACTAGTGACCCCATCGTATGTGCTTCGCGAAATTTCACAAAGGAAACATGGAGAATTCTCTCCAATAGAGCCTCAACTTTGAAAGCTTTTTTTAGAGTTTGGAAGTCAGTTTCCGAGAAAACTAGCGGCCTCATCGTGTGCCTCGCGAAATTTCACAAAGGAAACAGAACTTTAAGTGCAAATCCCCGTCACATACGAAAGCTTCATCAAAAACACACAAAAAAACCCTGTGATTCTTACACAGAAATCTACATTAAATCGTCCCCAAGAGCACAATGCGGGCCCCGCGTGGCAAACTGTCAGGTGCAACGTGTTTTAACATTGTATGATGTAGGTCATTACATGACTCGCTAGTCTGACGCGCGTGCCCGACAGGGACGAATACGAACCTGCACATGTGCTGAATTAAAGAGACGGGAGTCAAGTCATTCTTCGAACAAAATTACTGAGGAGACTACCTCTCTCCAGTGAGGCCATGCTGAGGGAGAACGCCTTCGCTGGGAAAATGGTGGATACTTTTCTTCAAATAATTTTATTTGCAGTTTCATCTGAGATATATGACACTTCAAGGTAAAATACGCATGACTTTCTTCAAAAATACACGTTTCATCCAAGGATATTTGTCGATTCTCGAATCTTAATACGAAGTTCTTCCTCGGTATGACAGACGCTTTCCAGTTCAGAAGACTGGTCACTGGTCCGTCAACTGAGCCCTCAGCTGCGCTGGCGAACCAACCCCTTTACTTCGGTCGACAGAGCTGAACAGGGTGTCTACAGGTTTTGGAAAACCAATGTCAGGACTTTTTCAGGACCTTTTCAGAACTTTTTTGGGGCCCTCGGAGTATTTTTGCCAAGTTAGGTCTACAATTACTGCTAATTTTAATAAAAATCGAGTCCATCCTCATTAAAATTGCTGATGGCTAAAGAAATCCATGATATGTAGGTATAATCGGAGACACTTTTCTTCGTGATACCTGCCCTTATACTCGCGAAAACCGTGAATTTTTAAATTTTTCGGGACCTCGAGTTAAATTTCCGGACTTATTCGTGACTTCCGGTACCGGTCATGCAAATTCCGGACTTTTTCAGGACTTTCGGGACCTGTAGACACCCTGGCTAAACCACAATCTCTAGTTTAATGAACCAAAGGGTCTGTCTAGTTTAATGAACCAAAGGGTCTGTTTAACTGCAGATCGAAAAACTTCAAAGGTGCCCGGGTGCCCAGAGTCCTCGTTATCAGATAAATCCTTAACAAAAGGTGACAGAACCGAACAGGGAGTCTACTAAAACTGGCTGGCAAGAAATCAGTATACCTCTACAGTACTTTTTCAGTCCTTTCCGCCACTAGGGGTCGATACTCACCCGCAAATGCGAATACTTGGAAAGCCTACAGAATATTGGAAGGCCGCAAAAAAAAATCAAAATAAATCATTATAATTTCGCGAGATCATGATTTGGTCCCCCGCCCATTCCGCAAAATTGTACGGAATTCCGTCCAAAAAAATATTAAATTGGATATTTGGTGGTGAGCTTCGGTGGTGAACAGCACTTTGGCGAATTGCGGACGTCGAGTTTCTATATTCTTGGAAGGCTTCCAACAATTCTTGCAGTTTCCAAGCTCTAGTGTTCCAGCACTTCCAGCCACCTTGTGGGAGTAACTTTGTAAAGAATGTCATTTTTAGAATCCTCTCTATTCTAATAAAATCATTTTTAAGACATTTTTGATGGACAGTGTGAGGAGGGGGATTAAGACGGTCGATGGGCTGGAGACAGGAAAGGGAGTTCAAAGTCCGTTTTCGATTTGCTGGTGTTGTTGATGAGGTATCTTTTTTTTTATTCTTGATTTATTTTAATCTATTTCAATTTGTTTCGACGATTTGTTTCGGGCGATTCCGACGATTTCGCAGGCCGTGAAGCGGCCCTTCGGAGGCTGGGCCACGTAGCGTCCGGCGTCCGGGGGCGGAGCCATCTAGTAATCTATAATAATAAGTGAAGCTTTTGCGAATTTTAATCATTGATCATTTAATAAATATAGTGCAATACTATCTGACAAATAAGCGCTATTTCCACTCACACTTCATAAAAAAGAAATCACTTTCCTTGGACAGTGCTCATGCGGCCCAGATATAGCGATTCTTGAAAAACTTGGAAGGATATCGACCCCTGCTTACCTAAAAAATTCTGTACCTCCTCGACAGAAAATGTCAGTACTTTTTCAGTGCCTCCGAGTGACAAAATTCCAAAAATCTG